GACCGATGCACTTTCGCCAGTCGTCTGCGGTAACGTTACGTATAGCTTCATCGAATAGTACTTTAACATCACATAATTTAAATGTAGTATTGCGACGTGCTACCTCTGTTTTCACTTGTGCCCAAATCAATTCAATTGGATTCAGCTCGCAATGATATGGTGGCAATCGATGAACAAGAACTCCGTGACTAAGAGCCATTTCGTCAACAACATATTTATGATATTTATATTTATGTTGTCGTGCAATATTTAACAACTCAGGTTTAATCATTGATCTTTCATAAGCGATTAGTTTCGTATCCAGCCAATCAATGATTTGTCCTTTGCGCCAGCTTGTTGTTGGGAGCTTTTCTACCTGTCGACTATGGTAGGGAGCATTATCTAAAATTATTACCGAACCCGGTTCTATTGTCGGTAATATGGACAAAAACCAAGTTTCAAATCTCTGAGCGTCCATGTCCTCATGATAGTCACCAGATTTTTTTGACTCGAAACATAAAAGTCCACCAGGAAGAAAACCAGACTCACTACCAATGTGTGTGATAATTAGACGTCGACCTTTACCTGATGGTGCCTTAAGGCCTGTGGATAATCCATCAACAAATGCTTGCCTACTGCTTGTAACATTTAAATCGTGCCTAACCTTGTTTACAGTATGAATGAATGAAAGAAGTGGAAAATATTAAAAAATGGAAGCGAATAGAGGAGGCCTATATTCGGAAGTGGACAACACAGGCTGCAAGATGACTCCAAGACCATATCTTTTAAATAAAAACTAAAATTCCTCTCATTTTTTTTAAAAATTGCAATATTTTATTAATTAATACAAAACATACATTTCTATTTAGTTTGATCAAATTGCTTATCGTACGACCAATGTACCTATGCCCTAATTTTGCAAATGAATAACCTCTTATTGTTCATAATTAAAAATGCCAATCCCAGAGCTATCTAAATGTCTTTGAAACTGTCTATACGAGTGACTCACGGCATCGAGAGAGATTATGCCTGTGGTAGATCTTTCCAGGAATGCCGCGTATTGACCATAACATTCGAAGAGATGTTATAAGAAAATTCCATAGCGATAAAAAGTCATTCTGAAATAAATATTTGCAATGTAAAGATACATTTTATAATATAAATTAATTCGTAATGTTGTAAGTGAAGTTTAAACAATCGAACGGTAGTTTCACGTTACAATATTTTACACCCAGAGAAAATCCGTATGCAACACTATCGTTTTGTTGACTGCCAGTATTAAATAAAAAATTTTAGAATTCACAAAGAAGTGATTGAAAATATCTACTTACCAAAGTTAACATACAAACGATATAAATAAATTGTTAATAACCACTCAAACACTTTACAGACAATTTATAGAAATAAATATAACAAGGTAAATAAATTTACGGCAGTTACGCTACTGATAAACTGATCGTAGCGAAACTATTTAATCTATTGATAAACCGGCCACTTCGTTTCGATACTACAGCTCTTCGTGAGCTAATCGTAGGCATTCGTTACTCAAAAACGTGATTTATGTTGTTATCGTATACTGTTTCCCCGGTATTTAGTTCAAATCACAGTTTTATTAAAGCGGACTGTCTGTCTGTCTAGTTACACTGAATAATTTACATAAAATTTATTTAATTAAATTTTGCCGTATGGTCACGTTGTGGTCCTATACTAAGTATTTGTCACTCCGTAAGATTTCCAGATCGAAGTATAACTATAAATACAAAATAGTTTAGTCAGCCCATAAACTTAATGGGTAAAATGTATTATGTGCATTTCTTACAGTATTTATGTAAACAGTACTTCTAAAATAGTAATGTAAAATAAACATTTTTTTATTTTCTTGTAAAAAATGTTTGGACCCTTGGGTAAAGGAAAAAAGAAATAATTAGATCATATAATGCTTTCTTTTTACATTACAGGTATATCGAACATTTTGTCCTTTGAGTTGTAAGTAAGGGCTCAGGTCAAAATAAAAATTAGAGCGGACGATTTTCACATTTGGTCCCATTGAAGATAGCTTCAAATGGGTTTGACAGAATGAAATATTGGTGTTTCGCAGTGTTGAAATTTACATTACAAACGAAACATACGCAATTAAAAGCAATAAGATATTTAAAAACTAATATTTAACGATTACGAAAAAAGAAAAAGCAAATAGTTTTAAAACAGTTTTTAACAGTAAATAGTAAAATGTCAGTATAAATAATAAAATTTAAAAGGCATCTGTTGCAATCTGGCAACTGGTGGTTTGAGGGTTCTGACTCTATTGCCAAATCTATCCGCTAACCTACCAAAGGGCAATTGCCAAAAAAATTGATGATAATTTATTACAACTAATATCAAACGAAACAAATATGACTTCATTAATATTTTATATAAGGTATAAAATTGCAGAATCCATAAAATAATATGATAAAAATGTACCTTTTAAAAGCTTTATCTCTTTAAGCTGGATTTATAGTTTGACGGACTGTAGACGCAGACGCACTGGAAAAAGATCAACATAGACTTTTGTGTACTCCTATTTATAAATGAACGTAAACGCAAGACGGGACGTAAGCGAAACGCACTGTAACGGAAGAGTTGGTCAACTTTCAACTTTTACAGTGCGTTTCTTACGTGTGACCAATCAAAAGAAAGAATGGGTTATGTTCATTGCACCAATATTGAAATATGCCAAAAATTGATCTGGATCTTCTGTCTTCATCTTTAAAAAATAATTATAAGTATTCTCTATTTTTCTATTACGGTTTATTGGTCTTGTTTTATAACGTCTTGGTCGCCTTATTATTGTCCTTCTAGTTTTTTGCAATGCTACTGCACACAGCACAGCAGCAATCCTACAGCGCCAAGGAGCATACCTTCGTATATTTCACAATCCATTCTAACACGCAAAAAGATTAAAAAAAAATATTATAATAAACAATAGTATAAACACACACCCTTTGTTTATTATGAATTCTGATTCCTATAATTGTATAATTTATAGGTTATATTGAATGTTGTGGTCACAGATTATAAGACAATTGTGGGTCACCAATTCTTGTCTTTACTCATGCGCAAAAATTCCACTACGTCCATTTATAAATTGAAAAAATATTTATAGTCCGTTTCTTACGTCTCCAGTGCGTCTACGTCTACAGTACGTCAAACTATAAATCCAGCTTTATACTTGAAGCATATATCATATACATTATAATAACATGGCAACACTGCCAACGCAATATTTCGTTCTGTGAAACTTAATTGACAGCTAATTTGTTTGAGGCTATCTTCAATGGGACCAAATGTGAAAATCGTCCATTAGAGCTTTTTATATTTTCTTGTATATAATGTATATTCTGACGTTATATCTGCTCAAGATATTTGTATTTAGTATTTCGAACCAGGACACATCTACATGTCCGCCGATAAGCTTCCACCATCAGGTGAAACTATCTTAAAAAAAAACAACAAGCAAACCTACGATTTTAACGATTTTGTGACAGCTGTGGAAATGCAAATTCAAAAAAGGTTATAATAAAACAATGTAGTATACAGATTTTTTAAGTGGCAAGATTTCGCGTCACAAGCAAAAATTAAAAAAAAAGAACCTCGTCCTCACTTGGCGAAAAAAGGAGAAATTGTTGCCAATAGGAGATCATTTTCTCTAAAGTACGAGTTAACAAATAACTCCGATAGTATATTTGAAATGAATTTTCTTCAAAATAAAGTTTTAAATAAAGAACGTCCCACCCTCAGGCATTTACATATCCACGTCTAGTATCAAAAAATAGAAAAGAAACCCTTATTAAAAATCTCAAAACCATAATGCCTTTAAATAGATTACATTTTAGCAACTGCAGATGCTGTGGTTTTCCTTAGGAGGGCAGTATAATAATATTTCCACAAAATACTGAGTGTTGAGGAATACAGTTTAAAAGACTATTTTATTGACAGAATAATTATTTTACTTCATTTAACAATATTATCGAATTATAAGCATTTAAGAGATGAATTAGTTATCTCACCAAAAAATGCTGACTGTTGCACTGTCAAGGATTTTTAATATTATAGTTTTGTCCATATACCCCTTTCAGTCACTGTGTCATCACTTGATGATACAAGAATTTTAACTTCCTTTAAATAAATGTTACAGGATGTTATGGTATAGCAACAGCCTAGTTATCTCACAACATCAAATTTTAATTAGATTTATGACCTGTAATACAAACTGTTAAATTCCCAGTTTCTCATAATGAATAAGTCATGTTTGTGTTACAATAGCCCTATTTCCATACATTGTTCTTTTAGCTGTGTATCCTTAGCGAATCTGATTGATTTTGTGATTTCTTTGTCTATCCTTTTGTATAATGTCATGTCCTGATCTTTGAAATTTCACCTCTCCTACGGTATATCTAAAATCTTATTTGTCATTCATGATTTTTTCTTCATTGGTGGTTCTTTTTGGTGGTTTGAGGAATTTCTCTTTTATGTCTTGTAAAACTCTTATTCATATGTTTCCTATGTCTATGTCTGTCAGGCTTATTAGTATTCTTCACATTTCTTGGCTCCTGGTTTTTTCAGAAGTGCAACACACTCAGACTTCAGCCATTCTATTGGTATTTCTCCAGAGTTGTATATTTAGTTGAGTATCTTATAACTTATATAGCAAAATAAAATTGAAAAATGTATACAGTCAATGTAACGATAACAATAAAAGTAATCCATCATGTTTGTGCTGATCCTATATTGTTGGCAGTTCAGTGAGTAATAGTTTGGCAGTTTTGAATTAAAAAAAAAATTAATGCAATGTTAACGTTAACATGGAGTTCAAGAATTATAAAAGAAAAAGGAGAATCATTAAATCAACAATTATTATATTTATCATCTATGCTATACCTAAATAATATCTCCGAAAACAACAAAACTTCATGATATAGTGAATATTTATGGATTGGAATAACGTCAACCATTATAAAAAAATTAAATTAAGTCCATACCTGTCTTCGTTTTCCATGAAAAGGATGCCTAATTGCTTTCCTAAGTAAAATAGTTCCCTTCTTGTATAATACAGGTTCATTATTATAGTTAATATCAAATTGCTTGAATAAAATTTCGTGTTTGTCAGATGAAACAGTCCCAGATAATTTTTTTTCAGCTTCTGAATTAGACAAACCTCCTGAAAATTTTTACAATATTTATTTTCCTATAGCGAAGTTAAAAAAATCAATTTAAATCCTTTAATTTATCTTTAAACAATTAACTGTCCAACAGTCTTGTAATTCATTAGGCAAATCATTGAATTTTTTGAAACCTCTAAATTTTTTTCATTAAGTTGGTATAATTCATTTTAGAAAAGTATATGTCACTTTTATTTCTTGCATAATGACGATAGACCTTGTTCTGTACCATCCACAGATAACCGAATAAATGAAAAAGGCCCAGAAGTAACCAAAGAAGAAGTGATTCACTCAGTAAAATATCAGAAAGATGGAAAAGCCACTGGTCCAGACAATATCAATGTCGAAATACTAAATCTAATTTCAGATAAGGAAATTAAAAGCCTAGACTTTCTATTTTAAGTTTTTAATGTGAATTATACATATAAGGGTTAGACCCAAGATCTGTGGCCTAGAGAGCCCGATCTTTGTTTTTTAATATGTTGTTTGTCCACAATTTTCCTTCTATGAAGTATTTATTGCCTAATTGACGATAGCTCTGATGATGACATTTATTATGTCAAAAGTATACTCAGCTTAATTAATAAATTATTTTACACACTATCAATTTTATTGAAAACATATAAAACCTGCTTACCAGTTAGACCTATTTAGAAGTGTGTACAAGTCTTACAGTCTTTTTCAAAATACCAACAGACTGGCTAAAATCAACATTCGTAGCGTTACCAAAAAAATCGAATTCCATACAATGCGATGATTATTGAATTTTAAGCTTGATGTCTCATGTCCATAAAACTTTCCTCAGAATTATCCATACACGAATTTACAGATGAGTGAAACTCAATTGGGATTTCGAAACAAATTGGGAACAAGAGAGGCTCTTTTTGCTTTAAATGTGTTAACGCAACAACGCAGAGACATGAATGTAGATGTTTATGCATGTTTTATTGACTATCGAAAAGCATTTGACTGCGTTAACCATCAAAAGATGATCGAAATTCTGAGAACAACTGGAGTTGACGAACAAGACTTGCGAATTATCTCTGAACTATACTGGCACCAAACGGCAACAATTGAAATAGAGCACACATCTGAAAATATACAAATACGATGAGGAGTGAAACAGGGTTACGTCTTATCACCGCTACTGTTTAATTTGTATTTGGAGGCTATATTCAAAGATGCATTAGACCAGGTCCAAGGCGGAATTAGAATTAACGGAATCAGCATAAACAACATCAGAATGCAGATGATACTGTCTTAATAGCAAGCAATGCACAAGAACTACAAAATATAATAAATGCGGTAGTTCACCACAGTAAAATGTTCGGTTTACATCTAAACGTTTCCAAAATTAAAACTTTAGTATTTTCAAAGACACCAATAAATGTACATGTGTATGCCAAGGGACAATAATAGAACAGGTAAATTACATAAAATATTTGGGAGCAAATATCAATAGTCAGTGTAATCCAAAAAAAGAAATACTATCAAGAATCTAACAAATAAGGAAAACACTCATGAGACCTTAGTCTGCAGTATAGAATCTGAATAATTAAATATTACATTTTTTCTTTCTTACTGTATGGCTGTGAAAGTTGGACAATGGACTCTGAAATAGAAAAAAGAATAGATATCTTTGAGATGTATATATACAGACAAATGTTGAGAATTCCATGGGTACAAAGAGTTACTAATGTTGAGGTATTTCATCGAATGTGTAAACAAAAAGAAGAATAATCAAAGAGAGGAAAATGCAACACTTAGTTCATGTGTTGAGAGGCGAAAGATATGAATTTCTTCAAGCTATACTGGAAGGAAATGTACAGGGCAAAAGATCAGTAGGAAGACACCAGAATTCATGGCTGAAAGACCTGAGGAGATGGTTCGACCACTCATATGTAGAAATATTTAGCGCAGCAATTTCCAAAACTACAATTACCATTTCACCAACCATTGAAAGAAGACGGCGCCATGAGAAGATCATGTATGTGTGTATTAGGAAAATAAATAAATTGCTGAAAATAAATAGGTGCCATATTGTTTTTAATTTTATAAACCAAAATCAATGCAAAATGCAAATACCAAGTTTCTCATAAATCTAGACAGCATTGTATATTCTATAAAAAGTCTGATAACAAAGATAATGCACATAATGAGAAAAAAGCAGGTATAAAATCTTAATTCACTTCTTGTAACAAGCCAATATTAGGATACTCCCTCAAATACCATGCCAAAAACTTTGTAAAATAATTTATTGGAAGAATAACCAACAAAAATGGAACAGGGTTACATTCCTAACCAAGGAGATCTTCTAAAAGAGCAAAGTGAATTGAAATACAATCATCTAACATAAAACCAGGCTTTCTGGTCTTCCAGAACCAGAAGTCTCAACAAATCTTTTAATTTCTTTACTTTCAATGTTTCTAACATCTTTTTAATAGAAGATCTCAACCTGAAGATATATAACATATATCTATAATTAATGTAAAATTAGTCTTTTAGTGCAATTAAAAAATTATAATCCAAACACTTATATATATTTAAAGATCATAAACTTAACAAATAATTCTTTAAAATAAATAATTTTTGTAATATAAAATAATTATTACCCTTCAGCACAAGTGCCCAGAATGCAGTATTGTACAGATTGTTAATATGGCAATCAGCCTGTCTCCAGCTAAGATAATTTCTCAAGTTTTCATCAGAAGGATAGAGAACAACTCTTGAATCAAATGCAGGTGGATATTTCATTTTCAAAGATGGGAAATAGTCTTTCCAAAAATAAACATAGGCTGATGTGAATAAACTATTCAGGTAAGTCATTATTTTATCTTTTCTTCTATTGTAGATGAAAGTTTCTTTTCTTAATACAAAAGAGTATTCATCACTATGGCCATAAGCTATGACAATGTCTTTGTATTCTTGCATAACAACTGTTGCAGCTTTGTTCATTAAACGCAATGCTCCAGCGTCATTTGGTTTATCGAATTCATGTTTTTTTGAAAATTTGTGAAAGCCTTTTCCATCAACTCTGACAACGATCCAGCAATTTGGAAGTAGGATATCTTCACTTTCAAAACTTTTCACGTATTCGAATTTACTGTTGGCCATAGCGGTAGTATGTATTCTTTTAACGAAACAAAATGGAAACAAACGATTAAAAAGCATTAACCAACTGTAACCACGTACCACCCTACACAATCGCAAACTCACGTGTGAAAAGAAATCAAAACATTCAAAACACACTTTGATGTGATTTACAAAAAGGAACAAACGTCAAATGTCAAATGTCAAATTCAAATTTAGACAGTTGCCTACTTAGTAGATTTTCTTTTTTATAAAAAAGTACATGGATAAAATATTTCACAGGAAAAATCTTTAGAGAAATTAAAAATATATTTAATTTTCGTAAATTATCCAAGATATGAAACTTTGTTTTCTTTGCGACAGATTAAGTATATCACTTATGATGCAATTGAAGAAATGAGACAATTACCAAACAAAAAAAAATATCACTCTTGATTAAAAATTGATCTTTTTCCTATTTTAATTCCAATAAAGACAACTGGAATGGTCTTATAAACTAAGTTATCAGACAATCTGAGTTAAAAAATTTCAGCGTATTTCACAATGACTATTGTATAGTTTGAAGAATAAACAACAATAATTGTAATTAAAATTTCATTTTCATTATTTTGACGTTTCGACTTTCAAACCAGAAATTGTTTTCAAAAAATAAAATAAAAAAATGAATGAACTGTAAAACTTTATTTTTTAAAACAATATACAAGTAGGTAGTCCATATTCCTCTTTAGATGGATTACTTACCTACTTACAATTAGTCACACTAAGAGATTTCACAGGGGATTTTCCCCACAGGGAAAAGTGTTGACTTAAGTGACAAGCTAGAGAGCTAGCGAACCCTGGGAGATTATATACACGATTGAATTAAGAAATAAAGAATTTAATCAACAGAGTAGTGAAATAAGAGAATGAGAGAATGAAGACAAATCACAAAAGTGTCATCAACGTACCTCAACCATACCTACCCTTGGCTTGTATGTTGACTCCATTATCCTCTTCTCTAGATACTCCATGAAAAGGTTGGCTATAACCGGGCTTAGTGGACTCCCATTGCTACTCCATCTACCTGTTCATAAATCTGGTCTTCCCATGAAATGTAGGTGGTAGTAAGGCAAATGCGGTATAATTCCACCATATCCTTGGAGACTGGTCCCTCAATGAAATTCAGAACGTCTTCTAGAGGAACTCTTGTAAATAGGGAAACAACATCAAAGCTAACAAGAATATCAGGCTCCTGTAAAGATATTCCTTTGATCTTCTCGATGAAATGGGCGGAGTATTTTACAAAGGCATCGTTTTTTCCTATGTGTAGTTGTAGATTATCGGCCAGATATTTAGCAAGGCTGTAAGACGGAGACCCTATGGATCTCACAATAAGGCGTATAGGTACATCGTCTTTGTTTATTTTCGGTAAGCCATACAAGCGTGGTGGGACTACTTTGCTGTTGCATATTCTTGGCTTTGTATTCTCTGGTATGGACGAAGATTTTATAAGTCTATTGATTTTCCGTAGGGTGACTGCTGTTGGATCTTTTTTAACTCTTTTATATACCGCAGGATCTAGAAAATTTTGTATTTTCGTTTTGTAGTCGATTGTCTTCATTAAGACGGTGGTGTTTCTCTTGTCTGCTGGTAAAATTATTTTATAATTTTACCAGCATTATTTTAATAATTTTGTGGTGACTACAACCTACCTGAAGCATCCTGGAATAATTTTAGTAATGGTGTTACGGTTGAGTGTCCTCATCACTCTCCAGCAAATATTATTTGTACTTGCTACAATTTTCAAAATATGTCACAAGTAAATGCTTTGCCTAACCTTAATAATAAATTTTTCGATCTAGTTTTCTGTACTCAGAGTGATACAGTTGTGTCGATTTCAACTGATATTCTATTGAATACTTCGCAACATCATTCAGCTTATACTATAGTGTTACATGAAGCCAATTTAAATTTGTTTCTTAAATATGATGTCTTCTATCATGATTTTAAAAAATGTAATTACCAAGTTTTAAATGTATATTTAGCCTCAATTCCTTGGAACAATGTATTAGATGAATCAGATATAAATTGCTGCTTAGAAAATTTTTACCATATTTTATATATGATGCCATCAATATGTTTGTTCCTATCAAACGGTTTAAATCATTAAACTTTCCATTTTGGTTTTCGCGAGAATTAATTGAGCTTGTCATACAGAAAAAAATAGCTCACAAGAATTTTAAAGCATCAGGCAACTCATATGATGAATTTTCGGTGTTAAGGGAAAGATGTAAAGCATTACAAGCAGTATGTTATAAGAACTATTTAGAGGATATTCAAACAAATCTTTCAAGTAATCCCCACTCTTTTTGGAGGTATGTTGGTACTACACGTGGGTCTAGTGCTTATCCTAATGTAATGTCTAATAAAGGTGGGGATGTAATAGCTCAGAATGGTGATGAAATAGCCAATTTATTTGCCAGCTATTTTTCAGGTACATATAATGATAGTGAGTGTAAATTATCTAATTTTAAATTGGACTATAGTGTGGATTTCCAGAGTCTGAAGTTTAGTCTGACTGATGTTTTCGAGGGGATTAGCAGTTTAAAAACTACATATTCTTCAGGGCCTGATGGTATATCTGCAGCACTTATTAAGAACTGTATTTTTTCACTTTGTAAACATTTACAACAAATTTTCAATTTATCGTTGTCATCATCTGTATTTCCACAATATTGGAAAAATAGTTTTCTTACACCTATCTATAAATCTGGCAATCGCGAGTGTGTTAACAATTATAGAGGTATAACTATTCAATCAGCAATCCCGAAACTTCTTGATAAATTGGTATCGATAAATCTCACCTGGGCTTGCAGAAACATAATTATTGATGAACAACATGGTTTTTCTAATGGGAAATCAACTGTAACAAACCTTCTCAATTACCAACAATACTTGTTGGGTGCATTTGAGAATAAAATTCAGGTTGACAGCGTTTACACTGATTTCTCAAAGGCCTTTAACTAGGTTAATCATAATCTTTTGGTCCACAAACTTCATGCATCTGGCTTTGGTGATCCCATTGTTAATTGGATTAAAAGTTTTCTGATGGGACGTACACAGCAAGTTCGTATTAACAATTATATTTCAAAAGAATTTCATTGTTATTCTGGCGTACCACAAGGGTCTCATTGTGGTCCCTTGTTTTTTAACTTGTTCGTTAACGATATTGGTAAGGCTATCAAAAACTCACACTTCCTGCTATTTGCTAATGATCTTAAGATATTTCGTTGTATACGTAATAAATCGGATAGAGATCTCCTGCAAGATGGTGTAAACAACATACGTTTGTGGTCAAAACAAAATGGTTTAAGCTTAAATCCAACTAAATGTTCTTGTATTTCATTTGGTCGTATAAATAATCTAATGGCTAATAGATATATTCTTAATGATGTACTCTTGGATTCAGTTACTGAGATTAGAGATTTGGGTGTATTATTGGATTGTGCATTGACATTTAGAAGCCATTTTCTTAAAATTAAGGAAACAGGATTTCGTAATCTCTGTTGTCTGGTCCCTGTTTCATCAAATATACATTGATGGATTGAAGAGCGTTCAAAGGAAGTTTCTAAGATCTTTAGCTTTTAAAGACCATATTAATATAAAAAATACTGAAAATTATTTCATAGATTATTCTATAATAATGTCTCATTTTAACATTGATACATTGAAGAACCGCAGGTTGAGAGCTGATATGTTATTTTTGTTTAAAATTCTGAACAATGTTATTAATTGTCCCTCGTTATTGGCCAATGTACCATAGAACTCGACACACTGCACTCTTTCATATTCCTTTTCATAGGACTGATTATGCTCGTCATTTTCCCCTGTCAAGAATGCTCAGCTCTTGCAATGACCTCCTATTGGATCCTTTCTGTATAAACATTAATGCTTTTAAAAGGCAACTTAAGAATCTGACTATTAATCTAGATATGTGATACTGATACTTTTTTAAAATGTTTGTGATATGATATATTGTTTTAATGTACAAATTTTAACTGTTTACTTGTTCCTTTGTTATTGTTTTGATGTTTATTGTACATGATCTTTATTTTTTACTATTTTTTGTATTTTATTGTAAATGGTTCTACCGTTGGAATGAATAAATAAAATAAAAAATAAAATTACATCTTTGTCTGTGTTTAACGATTTTATGGCACGGATTTCTTGGTGACTCAGGTTATTTTTCGGTATCTTAGCTATATGCAAAATTATCGCTGATTCTGTCCTTATTTCTTTATCTTTTTTAATTGGTAATTAATGGATTCAATCTTATTCCAATACTTCAACCTGCTTCTCAAAACGCAAAAAAATCTAGAAGTTCCTTGTCAACATTCTCCAGATTTCGTCTGGTGTCGTGTATTAGTTTTCGTAATAGTGCTTTTTCCATGCGTGTATATATTCTATTGGCTTGACTTGTTCTGATGGATCGATTTGTTCGTAAAAAATTCGGTAGTACCCCGTTGTCTCGACATCGTGATAAAAAAATTTAACGACGCAACAAGTTGAGCTTTCTTCTTCTGTAGACAATCTAGTCTTCTGTAGTATGTAGTTTCTTCCTTCCCGTAGAGGCGACTGATAAAATGCGTTAACCTTTACGGCCATCGTCTAACTTGTTAAACTGTTTGTTCGGGCTGTTAGGCCGTTGTCTTCTGAGATTAGTTCTTGACGTTTCGCTAACACTAGGGGTTGGCATTTCCTGAAGATGTTACTGCTTCGTTTGTAAGCTGAAACTGACGACGGCGTGAGGGGCATGTCGTTCGTAGCTTTTTTTCATGTTTTGTGGGTATATTTCAGTAATGCGGCTATGCAGTATAGTTCAGCAGCTTCATATTCTCCTGCAATACGGTGAGAATTACCCTAAATGTCTCTGGTAATATGACCCCTAAAAGATGCGAGGATTTTATGGTTGGAAACTTGAGTTCCTCGTAAGTCACACCCGACTCTAAGAAACGAAGCGTTGAATAAAGCCTCCCATAAGGACTTACAGCTTCTTTCATATGAGTGTCTTGTTTGTTTATTAGTAGACTAACGAACTCCAGAAATTTGAAGTATGCTA